TCGTGATCATAAGGAAGAAGCGAAGAAGAGGTTAAAGGGTGCTGCAATTGCCCCTCCTCAAGCTCTACTGGAGACAGCTTCGTCCCCTCCCAAGGTAGCTTGTGTTTTTGTTTTTCTTTGTTTCGTGCATCGGTTGGTTTGGTTTCATAAAGTTGTTGGAATGAGCTTATTTCGAAGAATATTCCAGGTGGTGTTTTTAGGCTCATCACAGGTTTTAAACTATAAAGTGAAAGAAAGTTTGTTTGGATTCTTATAGTTGCGATTTGTTATAGTTTTCATTGTAAATACTAATCTCATTTGTGTAGCATATCATCTTAAAGTGTGACTCTGCTCTTTTCTAATAGTGCATTAGTTTCGTTCCTAAATAATCTATGGGATGTAAAATAACATATAAAAATGGCAACTTCTCGCAAATTTATTACTGCAATTCTAAGCTGTAAAACGGGTGCTGCGGAATATGTTTTTGGCCTTTTACCTCTAGCAAACGCACTGTACGATAGCCGTTCAAAAACTCTATAGCAGAAAGTTAGGCCTAAAAAAGATGATTTCTGGCAGATATGCTTGAGGATAATAGCATGGCATAAGCACCACTTCCATGGAACTGTGTGATCATGCTTTCATGGATTTCGTCGCATTGCCACCATGCCTCCGGTGTAGCTGTTTCCAAAATAAACCGAATAAAAAATAAATTTCCGTGGTTTTGCCAATGCCACGTAATAGTCAACATAAGCTTTAGTTTTCAAGCTATCGGGTCCTTGTAGATTCGAAAAGATTTTTGGAAGGAGTCTGTTAAATTCAAGCAGTCTTTTTATTTTCCATATGATTTTGGTTTTGAATGTTGTCATCACTTGACGTTTAGAAGTTTTGAGGTTTAGGTAATTTTCATGTGCAAATTTTTCTCTTGGTTAAGCATCGAAGTAGTAAGTGTTTAGGAGTCTTCTCCGCCCTCTTCGATGAGTATGCCACCGCCAACGTTCCTGCCCACTTTTGGAAAAGCTACCTCAAAAGGTCTTGGTGTCGCTGCCAACATCATGAGCAAGTTTGGATACAAGCAGGGTGCAGGCCTAGGTGCGTACATTATCTCTTTTTAATTCATAGGGCATTTATATATATATATATATATATATTTATATATGCATACATGTATATATATGTATATATATGTATATATACATGTACATATATATATATGTATACATATGTATATATATACATGTATATATAATGTATATGTATATTTATAATATATGTTGTTTATATCTATAAGAGCTTATTCAGGTCGAGATGAACAAGGGATGAGTACTGCATTAACAGTTGAAAAGCTTGGAAAAAATTCTGGACTTATTATAAATGAGAGTCAGAGTAATCCGCCTCATGTGACTGCGCCCCCGATGGGTGTAGGTCCTGTAAATATGGCTGAAGCCATGAAGCGATCAACGAAAGTGCTGATGCTTACGGTGAGCAACTTCTTGATAAGTTTGCAGTCGTTTTGCTTTTTTGATGGGTGGTAATATTTCGGTCTATCGCAAAATAAGTTTTTCCTCTTGGGATCGCGTAGCAGCGGTGGGTTTGCAGTTTTCCGTGTATGGACCCTTGTCGAGCAAATGAGCAAATTGTAAAGATTTTGAGAAGTTCTCAACTCTACTTTTACATTGTTTGTACACTCGCCGAACCTATTCTCGCTTGTAATAACTTGATTCACTGCTTCCAAGTCAGCTATGTTTGCTGATCTTACTAGCCATCATTTTCACCATCTCTGATTCAGTGAGCCTGTGTTCGACTCCATAACGTTTTGGAAATCTGGTCCATATGCTACCTCTCACTGTCACATACGGTGTCCAACTTTGGCTAGTTACTTTTTTGCACAAGTATCAGAACTGGAGGTTATACTTTTCCGGTGGATTTTTTCTCGTCGTAAAGTCTAGTTTTGTGGTCAACCTCGGTTAAATAGCTGTGATGCTAATCCTTAATTGCATGATAGGTAAGCACTGTTCATAGGTTCGATACTCCAGAGACAAGACAACAAAAGTAATGGTTCTCAAGCGCTTTGCAAAATTACAGTGATTTTTGATATAGTATAGAAACGCACAAGAGGAAAAAAGCAAACTTTCATGGTTCAAAATAACAATCTGTAAAAAAGGTTTCTTTTTGAAAAGTAATCAATGAAAAATGTAGCAAAATGCTATGAC